TTTTCTATGCAAACCCAAGAGATATGAAATCTTACCAGTGGGAGCTATGTTCCTCATCATAATCGAACCACCAATATGAGAAAGACAATATTTTAGACATTGATGACGTATGTGTCTTTGTGTCTCTGAGATACACAAAGGCACATACACATCAAAATCCAAACTATTTGCCTCTAAACTAAACCCGGACCTTTAAAGAGGTGAGAGAGAGCCAAGGCCTAAACTGACAACGACAAGCTTTGAGAAAGACAATTTTTTGAAAGTTAACGATGTGTGTGTTTTGGTATCTTTGAGATACACCAAAACACATACATCGTTAACATCCAAATTATTGCCTCCAGAGAGGTGAGAGAGAGCCAAGGCCTAAAGTGAGGACGGCAGGCAAGGGTCTGAACTGAAAATTTGGCCGCTAAGGTCCAGAAGAATGTGACTTTATATCAAGTTGGAACCCTAAGTGAAAACTGAAAGTGAAAGAGCGGGTGAAAAGCCCCAATTTAAACCAATAATCTTTACTAACAACGGCGGTCCCTTTATAAATTGTATCGTATAATATTAAAAAAATCCACGGCACTTATTTTTTTAATTAAGCGCCGTATTAACCTAATATACCACGGCAGTAAAAGTAAACTTTTGTCGTGTAAAATCGTAATCAACCATGTTGGTTTCTACTATCCTAGCGTCATTTTAAAGACATACTAGGTGGGTTGTGTCTACTAAGCACGTCAATTTCTTTAGTTATAGCGTTGTTAAAATTATATTCCCACATCATTACGTGAAATATGTCGTCTTCAATTTTTTTTTATATGACTGTCCTTTCTGAATACCGTCATCTTAAATTTGTATTGCTTTTTTAGATTTAATTTTTGAATTTTAGTAGCCTACGACGGTAGATCAACAAAATGACAAGTGTGGAGTAAAACCACGAACGGTTTTCTATGCAAACCCAAGAGATATGAAATCTTACCAGTGGGAGCTATGTTCCTCATCACAATTGAACCACCAACATGAGAGAGACAATATTTTGGAAGTAGATGATGCTTGTGTCATCAATATGTTGGACCTTCAGAGAGGTGAGAGAGACACAAACACATCAACTTCCAAATTATTGCCTCCCAACCAAATCCAGACATTCATAGAGGTAGAGAGAGCCACGGCCGTATGCTACTTGAGTTAGAGTTGGAACCCTAATAGAAAAGTAAAACTGAAGAAAAGCCCCAATTTATTTTTACATCCATTGATTTATTCGTAAAGAGCGCATGTTATTCAAACTAACCACGGCGGTTTTTTCATAAAGAGCACCGTATTAACACATATACCACATCGACAAAAATACTCATTTGTCGTGTAAAATTGTAAATAACCACGGCGGTTTATTATAAACAAGCGACGTATTAACTAATAATACCACGTCAACCAAAGTAAACTTTTGTCGTTTAAAATTGTAAATAACTAGGGGTGGGCATCTAAACCGGAAAATCGAATAACCGAGCCGAACCAAGCCGGAAAAAACCGAAAAAAAATCGTGTTGACCAAAAACCAAACCGGATCGGTTCAACCCGATTCAAGTTCCAGTTTGCTGTTTTAAAAAATCAGATCGGACCGGACCGGTTATTTATTAAATATATCATTTTAAAAAATTATTTAAATATGCTATATTATGATTGGTTGGTGCACCGATTCTACATTCTTTGTATAGAAAGGGTTGCACATAACCTCACCCCATTTATCCTTTTATTTCTAACCCTAACTCAGCTCTCTCCCCATCTCTCCTCCCCTTCATAATTTTCTCAGCCGCCCCTTCTCTATTATCTCTTTCTCCTCATCCTCTCTCTCTCCGACGAAGAAGGTGAAGGAGGTGATGATGGCAAGGGACACATCGACGACAACGACGATGAGAGTGAGCCCATACCTTCATCGATGATGATGACGACAACGATGAGAGGGTGAGTTCTTTCTTTTCCCCTATTTTTTGTGGTTTTTAGTAGATTCCAAAGATTTTTCTCAGATTTGTTTTTCTGAATTTCTATTAATCAATATTGGCCATGTTGGTTGTCCATACCTTCATGACTTTCTCAACAGAGGAATAGAGAAATATGTATAATATTTGTGGTTAATTTGCAGTCTGTAGCTGTATGCTTTAGAAAATTAATTTAATTTATTTGTGGGTTTCTTTTTCTTTTTCTTTCTGGAATAAGGATTTCTGTTCAATTTATTATTTGTTAATTTATTTTTCTAGAACAGTGGGTTGCTATGATGGCAAAGTTGCAGTCCATGTCATGTATTTTGCCTTCTTCCCTGATGCTTCTATCACTTTCTTGTAAAATGGTTTTGAAGAGATCTGGTCCATCTTTGGAGGGATTTTTGCGTGAAATAACTGATAAAGTTTTTCGCTTTTGAGTTTTTTATTCTTTCGCTTAATTGATAAAGTTTTGAATGCTTTATCAGTTTTGAAGCATATAATTGATAAATCCTCTGAAGTTATTACATTTTCTCAGTTTCTTGAGAGGATTTAAGGCTAATGGCTCTTCCTCTGCTGCCCCAACATATTTTGAGAGGATTGACATCTCATATTTCACCAAATGCAACTTTTGAAATTATTCTTATAAATTGGTATTTCTAAACTTTTATTAATTTTTCTTTTGTGTTTTTGGTAGAAACAGAGATCATTGGAGCTTCTGAGATGCGGCAACAAAGAAAATGGAGCTGTAATTTAAAAGTTGGTTGTAATTTAGTTTGCTTCATTATAAATTTGGTTGTAATTTTAAATTTAATGTTGGATTATTTTATTATTTTATTATTTTTTCTAAAGAATGATTGCTTGATTCAATATGTTAAGTGGGCCAATTGTGATTTTTAAGCCCAAAAAGTTTAAAAATTCGGTTGGGCTTGAAGCTGGAAATATCCACACAAAAAGCTAAAACAAAATTGGCCTTGAAGCTAGAAATGTAAAACCAAAAAAAACCAAAAAATCAATTGGGCTTTGGAGTCGGCCCAAACCGGGAAAACCGGAAACCGAACTAGATCTAACTAGTCCGGTTTGGTTCGGGTTTGTTATTAAAATGTCATAAAAATGGGACCGGACCGGACTGATGAACATCACCAATTTCGGTTCTAATTTTATATGAAAATCAGACCGAACCGGACCGTGCCCAGCCCTATAAATAACCACGTCGGTTTCGTAATACTAAAAGTTGTTTGACTTTATTATCAACCA